ACATTCTGTTATTATTGCAGAGGTAAAGACTGTTCTTTTATCTCCGCAGGTGCATGTTGAACTAAGGTAGATTAGGTTGGGGCAGGTGAGACGATGAGTAATTCATATATACCTTTGCTGGTTGTCACTGGGGAAGTTCGTATGTGCCTTGAAATGAGAAAAAGCAGACAAAAAGAAGACATCGCACTTATGTGTTCGTACACACCTTCCCATCTTAGCTCACAAAATTACGTCGCTAGATTCTAGAGTGTAGATCTTCATGGTCCAGTCCAGTAGGCAATTCAAATATGGCTATTCCATAAGTGACGTGTGCTGTGAGTCTGAAATACCCACCAGACTTTGAGGATTAGTATGGAGGAACGAATGTAAAATTCTCAATACATTTTTTTTATATTGATCACACGTGAAAGGGATATTATTTTGCGTCTATTGAATTAAATAACATTATTCAAATTAATCTTATGTGTTTCATTTTTTAAAAATGTGGTTGCTCAAATGAACAGGACAAACAACTCATGGACATGGATAATAGACTAGTGATTACCGGAGGGTAGGGGAGAGGTGGGTGGGGGTAAAAGGGGTCATATGAGGTGACAGAAGGAAATCTATGGCAGATGAACGCACAATGTAATATATATACCTTACTGTTAAAATGTATAGCTGAAGCTTATCGGATTTTGTTAACCAATATCACCATTAAAAAAAGGGGGGCATTGCTAAAACATTGTAAATCCCATAGATGGCTTACGTCAATTCTGTTGGGAGCACTTGTCCAGAAACTCCCTTACCCAGGGGGTGAGAAGGGCGCAGGGAGCTGCTAACCACTGAGCAGGGAGCTCCTGGAAGTTTTACTCCAGGGAGAACGCTTTGCATCCTCATGACTGTGCTCAGCTGCTCCATGCTCCATGCTTCTGCTGCCCGCCCGCAGTGTTTCTTAGGAGAATTTGCTTATCTGCCAGTCCGTGATTGATGACAGCAAGAGGGCACGCATACTTATAGGTCAGCTCTTCCTTAGAACAAGAAGAGTTCAAGGAGTTCTTGAGATTAGGAAGGGTCTGCAGAGTTTTAGTGACACTCTTCAAGTGCTTGATAGCATTTGGTGGGTTGTCCGTGATCGTGCTGAGTTTCGTGTTAGCCACCAAGGCGGTATTTGTCTTATTGAGTTTTCTATGCATTTTAAACAAACCTCTTTGAGAGGTTTTTGCTCTTTTCTGTAAAGTGAGGGGTTTGGACTCTTTTGGCGCTGCCTTTCTGAATGATGCTGGTCCTCGGAGCCCAGGCAGGGTGTCCCCAGGGAGAGCTGTCACTACAGCCTGTAAGGTGAGGCACTGGAGATGAATGGTTGTCTCTCTCGATTTCCAGTGTCTGCTGACAAACTTCTGTGGTACTTATTGGGAGAAAGAGGAATTTGGATTGTAGGACGTAAGAGGCCTTCTGTATGCAGGGGCAAGCAGCACACAGACGTTCTGTGGGAGTCTGCAAGGAAAATTTATTGCCATTCGAAAAGCAGAGTTAGGGGCTTAAACATGGATTTAAATGGGTTTATCTAGGGATGGTTCGACACACGAGTAGGGTACTTGGCCTGTGTCTCGGAGTAGGATATTATGGTATTTTAATGGAATATCTGCATTGGTATTGCAGAGTCTCTAAATAATGCTAATGAAGGATATTGTCTTACAAAGGATAAATTTTTAGGTGATGTTTAGCGAGCTAGCTTTGTTATAAGTACAGTTTCGTGGGAAGTTCTAAAATAATTTTTAAATGACACGTTTAAAAATTAAATAATATCAAAATAAATTGCACCGAGTGTTAATTATTGGAGTAAATAATAACTGTAGGGGTGTGTCTGCCAGCACTGTGTGGTAAATTACTCAGGAGCAATTTACTCCACTTTATTGTGGACGGAATATTAACCAGGCTTCTTCCTCCCCCACGCCTTCTGGTTTCGCTTGGACCTTAGAGCTTTCCCCTCCAGGCCGGCTGCTTAATGGTTTTAAACCCAGTGCCCTTTGTTTAAACTGTTGTTTGCTTCGAGCGGGTTTCCACAAAGGGCCCCCAGTGTTTCCCAGGAGTCAGATCAAGGCTGAGAGTCACTGAGTTGGCGACTGTCGCAGGCGGGGGGGCAGGAGAAGGAGCCCTCGTCCTGCATCCCTACTGGGCCCAGAATCATGGTGGAGCCCCCAGAGACCCACCCTGTCCCGGTGCACATCTGGAGTTGGTCCCTGGCTCTGCCGCGGTGCGTGGAGCTCCAGCGCTTTTGGTGCTGATGTGGAGTCGGGGATGAGAAGCCTCCCTTCCATCCCTGGACCCCGTGCTCCGTCTGGCGTCTGAGTTATGACTTCTCTCTGCCTGTTGTTCCTTCCGTGAGCCTGTGCAGTAGAGAAGGGCCCTATTTTGCAGAGAGAGGGAGTTAGACCAAAAGGGCGGCAGAATCCTGCCTGCTGGGTGGAGCTCTGGCCTTACCTGCATCCTCCATCCTGACCCACCCTGTCTCTAGCAGAAGCCTCTCTGCCCTAAGCGCTCACCACTGTGGGGATTTTATGCAGTCCTGACCTTGCTTCCAGCCAGGAGTCAGGCTTTTTACTGGGTAGAGTAGGGGGGTGAGTGGCTTTAATTGTGGCTGGAGCGGTTTGGAAAGGATGCAGTGGGGTGGGGGGAGGACTGGACTCCACTCCTAGGAAATTTCCTTTGGTCTCGCTGGAGAAGCTGCAGCTTTGCTGGGTTGAGCCTCCTGTTCTCAGTGCTGGCCCTCAGGTAGGGAGAGGCCTCCTGGGAATGAGAATGGGAGCAAAGGGCCTTCGTTTGGACCAGGGCCACTTTGGTCTAGACAGGGCTTGGCATCCAGGAGCAGGGGAGAAACTGTCAGGGAGCCAGGAGGAGCTGGGAGGAACTTTCTTTTCCCTTCAGGACTCAGAGCTCCGTGTTAGCCGCCGCAGTGGGCTCTGCCAGATTTTTCTGGCAGGCCACAGACTTCGGCTCACCGGGCTCAGCTTGTCCTCTCTGTCCCCAGTGGTGTCTTAACTATTGTCCCTGCCCCTGCTTCTACCCAGTCTAGGAGATATTTTAGAATTGACAAGTTTTGAGTGACCGAGGGTCTTTAGAACTGAGATGGAATTAAAAGTTGATACCTCAGAATTACTTGGCTGCTGAGATTTGTTTCTTGTTTATGTAAAAACATAGTTAGAAAAAAAGTCTGTTGCATTGTAACACGATGTAATTTGACTGATGTTTTATTGGTAAGCGGGGAGGCAATTTTGTCCTTAGTGGTTTCTAGTGCTTGGTGGGTTAGTGTCTGAGACTCTTTTTTTTCTTGGGTTGGACAAAGGTGAATGCCTTCATTGTTCAGTTGTGTGGAGCTGTTAATAGTTTATGGATGGTGATTAAGTCCAGCCGGCAAGCCAATTTGCAGTGTATCTTAGCCTGCACTGGCCCTTGGCTTATTTGCAGAAAATTGGACCTTTCAACTGGAGGCTTCCACCTGCCCCGTGGGGTCTACGTCTATCCTGTTTGTCTTTCAGAACCCCTATCTTGTGCCTTCTTTATCAGCACCCCTGGGTGCGGGCATTCTGTACGTATCCCCAAATTAGTCGTTGTGGCCTCAAGTTTAAATGATCTATTTAAACTTTGTTCTCGCTGGGCTGCATGCTTCTGATTGTGTCTGTTATTAATCTCCAGACTGTGTCTCTGGCATAGCATCTTCGTCACTCAGCCACTCTGTCCACGGGGACTGTCTGTTTATGCATTCACGTTTGCCTCAGAGTCAGCACATTTAATCCCGATGTTGAGCTGGGAGATAAGTGGTGTTTATCTCTCCACAGATGAGGAAACCGAGGCCCGTGGTTGTTAATTCGTCCCAGGCCTGGTGGCTCAGATGCAGGAAAGCCAGGATTCCTGTTCAGGCAGTTTGACCTCCCTGGGTTGAGCCGTCATTGCAAGTCACTGGACTCCATGCTAACCTTCAGAAAAATCCCCAGGCACAAGCCAGCAGAGAGACATTCTACACAATACTGGACCTGTGCTCCAAAACGCTGTCAAGACCTTTAAACAAGGGAGGTTCTGAGAGGCTGTCACAGACCAGGGAATACCTCAGGAGCCATGACGATGAGATATAACGTCCCGGATGGGCTCCCAGGGCAGAAAAAGGACAAAGGGGAAAACTGGTGAAACCCAAAAGAAGTGCAGAGGTTTGCTCATAGCAGCGGACCAGCTTTCCTTAGTGTGACAACCGTGCCGTAGCCATGTGAGATGTTAGCACAAGGGACCTCCGTGAGGAGTGTACGGGAACTCGTATTATTTTCCCAACTTCTCTATAAAATCTAGACCTATTCTAATATTAAAAATCTATCTAAAGCAATAATGGCAACACCACCATAAACCCACTACATGCCGTCCCTCTCTGGCTTGTCACGACCCAGGTATCTGTGTGTCCTTGCTGCAGAGGCCTTGTCCTTGCCAGAAGCATCTCCGCCGATTTCAGCCCGAGCCAGCGATGGAACACAACCAGGCATTGCTGCGGGGCTGTTGGACGTGCTGTGCTTTTTAAAAGAGGTGTCAGTGTGTTCCCAGACCTCTGTGGAACCCAGGAGGAGATGGACTATGGAGAGAAATGAAAATGGGTTTTGGCGCAGGAGAGGAATAATTGCATTTAAGTAAAACCTTAAGACACCAAGTGGGACAAACACTGACCCTTGGGTCATTTAACATGTGTCCATCTTCTGTAGCCCTCGTCACATTCTGATGGGCGTAGCTTGTATTGGTAAGTTATTTTTAAATGCTTTGTAACTGGAAAGCAGCCCAAAGTGTAGCTTTGGGGGTTTGGAGGCGAGGTTGGTTTACTGACGCAGCTGGGCCTGTGCGTGCCTGGGTTCTCCAGCAAGGCTTTCAGAGGAAAGATAAAGCAGTGTGATGGCTGAAGGCCATCCTAGGTGTGACCCCGGCAGGTGCTAGCAGCAAGACCCCAAATATAGATGGCGCCACGTTGTGTCAAGGGCCCTGTGGCTTTGAAGAACTTCGGTTAACTCATCTCATGGGCTTCTCTAATGGTTGTACAAAAACAGACAAGCTCAATGACTCCTCGCTTTGCACAGAGAGGTCTCAAGTAATGAGCAGCTGTCCTGGGCTCCAGGTAGTGGGGCTAGGAGTCCACGCCTTTTTGGGGCATGGCCGGTATGGTTTCCACGCCCTCGTACTGAAACCTTCGGCGGCTCTGGATCTCTGTGAGAGACGCAGTTTCTTGCAAATGCCACTATGAGTTTACTGGGCACTGAGCAGGGCGCTGAGTTAGGATTTGGGATCGAGAGTGAATTAATTCCCAGTCCTCATCTAGTGCGCTCAGCTCTGTGCCAGGTGCTGGAGTTTCAGTGGCAAGTAAAGTTAGCCTACTCCGGTAGTCTCTAATACAAGTGATGTAAGCCATAGTATTACATCCATCAAAGAAAGCACTGAAATAACTGTTCTTTTAGTTTTCTAGGGAAAATGCATACACACTAGTTATGGTCATTTGCATAGGTCTTTTGATGAGTGGAATGCTTTCTAGATTATCCAAAAGTCATGATATTTATGTATGTGACAGAAACAATAGCTGATACTCATTTATAAGCTGAGCTTATACATAATAGAAACTTAACAAACTAGTGTAAACTAAAAAGAGGGCTTTCTTGGTGTATGCAGTGTGGGAGATCAGGGACGGAGATGGCCTTCGGGATAACTGTATCCAGGGATTGAATGACATCAGCTGTGTGTCTGCTTGTTTTTCTGTGTAGTTGTTTGTCTCTCCCTGAGATATAATGATTCACACATCATAAAATTCATCCTTTTAAAGTATTAGTGGTCTTTAACATATTCGCTGAACACTAGCATTAGTGTATCAGTACGTACTCAGCCATCACCACCGTCTAAGTCTACAGCGTCGTCATCACCCCACACCTGTTCGCAGTCACCCCCATTCTCGCAGTCACTCCTTTCAGCCCTGCGCACCCAGCAGTCTGCTTCCTGTCTCTGGGTTTTGCTTCTGGACGTTTCACATCCACGGCCTCACATGGTATGTGGTCCTTTGTGACTGACTGACTGCTTCCACTTAGCGTAATGTTGTCCAGGTTTGTTCTTGTCGTAGCGGGGGTCAGTTCTTCATCCTTTTTGTCGCTAAATACTATTCCATTGCATGAATGACCACATTTTAAAAACTCTGTTCTTTAGTTGACGGACAGTAGGGTTATTGCCACTTTGGGGCTATTGTGAGTAATGCTGTTACGAGCGTTTGTGTGCAGTTTTTTTGCTGTGTGGACATACGTTTTCATTTTTCTTGGGTACATATCTAGGAGTGGAATTCCTGGGTCATATGGTAACTGTGTTTAACTTTTGGGGAAACTGCCTGACTTTTCCACCGCAGTGGCACCGTTTTTCATTCTTACCAGTAGCATGGGAGGGGCCTCATTTCTCCACATTCTCACCAACATGTTATCTGTCTTTTTGATTGGACCAGATTATCTTTTAAGCACCTTTTAATTCAGAAAGTGTAACTTTATGGAAAACATTAACTGTTCTTGAAATTTAATAAAATTCCACAAAGGAATTAAATAGTATGTATGTGACAGCAATGAGAAATAGCTATTTTAAGTTTATTTACTTTCTACTGTGTTCTTGGGTCATCCATTTTTATGAAGTGATGACAAACTTCTGTTCGGAGTACGTTTGTGTATTTTTTTTTTTTTTTCTCTAAAACCAGATGGTAGCCAGAACATAGCTGGGATTTCATTAAGATAATCTTATCAGTTTTTGTTTATTCGTGAAGTTTTTTTTTTATTTTTTATTTTTGGGAAAAAAATTCTTGTCACGAATAAGGAAGGACATTAAACTCTAGGAAATGAGAAGTCAAGGCCATCTGGCGTTACAGTCCGCACAGAGTGCAAACATCTCCTGATGATCTTTATTGCCCCTTCCATTCTGTGTCACCTACTGTTTTCTTTCAAAGGAAGAGTGGAATGCAGTTCTAAAACCAGCTTTCGTGTCTCTCAGGATTTCCCACTAGTTTTTGAGAGTCCTTGGACTCGGAACAGTTTTATTCATTTTGTGAACTCCGCACGTCTCGTCTTATTCTTCTGCCCCTTATGTTGCATAATTATTCCCTTTGAAAGAAAAGGAGGGAGGAAGTTTTACAATAGGCATAGTTTATTTTTAATATGCTGTAAACTCTTTAGAGCAGGAGCAATTTTCTATACTGTTGACTATTTTATAGGGCCCGGTACATAATAAGGGGCTCAAAAGATATTTGTGGGAGGGATGGGGCTGTGGAAGGGTGGCCTGATGGATGGATTTATAGGTAAAGTGACTTACACATGATTGAATTTTAGGGGTGTTGGCCAATTCTTTAGTTCCATTTTCTGTTTTCTTTTAAACACACATGTTGGCTATGTGATGATTGGTTAACAGATGGAATAATTTGGTTTTTATCCCTTGGATTGTCACATTGCTACAGTGTTTGAGATTGTCTCAGCAACTTGGAGATGTCTCATTTCTTTCAGTGTTAAATCGTTTCTGGGATTATTTCTAGTCACTGTGGTTGAACTGAAAAGCTGCCGCAAGGAATCGTGAGGAAGGTAGGAAAAATTGGCATATAAAGTTGGGACTGCATCAGTTGGCACGTTCGATCCCTATAACCATGAGAATAAACTCTCCGGGATCACAAGGTCGTAATTGAGGCATCTTGCCATTCAGCAGAGTTCGCTTGGGTTTTGATTTGGTTTGGGAGTGTGGGGCGCCAACGAGTCTTTGCGGGATATAAAGGTTAGTTTATTGTTGGTGAAACCTTTTTCCATTTTGTTTCGTCTTTTCCCTCCCTTTCCACCACCTACTCTTCATACAGGTTTCGCGGTATCCTCTGCATGGAAGTGCCCTTCTAAGTAGCTGATCGTGGTGACAGAGTCTGACCTTATGGACAGGACAGTGGGAAAACGTGGGTGCCACGTGATCCTTCTCCCTGGGCGCAGTGGAGACTGAAACTGTCCAAAGACATGGGACGAATTGCCTGTGAACGCGATAGTGATGAATGCAGACAGGCCTCAGTTTACCCCTGTATTGTGTTTATGAGTTAAGTTAGTTCTTTGGGACACTGCACGTCTTCCTGTGGAAAAAGTGCTATAAATGATCCTTGGGCTCATAGGCCAACCCAAGAAATGATGTCGATGGTGAAGACGACATAGCTGAAAGGTCCAAATATATTGTAGCTACAACTAGCTGAAGACATTTCTTATTGAAAAAGCAATACCATTAAAGACTTCTGCAGGCCAGACTGGGGAGTTACCCAGCACTTCTGCCCTCATCTCTGGGGGGTGAGGGGAAATATGGCTCTGAGTTCTGAAGGAGAGTGTCAGTGACACACTTTCCTCTGCAGTTTAGTGATGGCATCATCTCTGAGGTGAGGGGAAATACGGCTGAAGGAGAGTGTCAGTGACAAACTTTCCTCTGCAGTTTAGTGATGGCATCATCTCTGACGGGCACAGGACTCCCGTCCTTGGGGTTGCCCATGTAGAAAACAGACGCCGTTCCACAGCCCACAGTGAGATGGTACAGACTTGAGACCCTCTTACCACGCATTTCCAACACGGTGGGCTGTGTGCTCCCCGTTCCTCTCCTGAGCCTCCCTTTATTTTTCCTCCTCAACAGTTAGTGCCTCAACGCCTAGTTGACTGAGTTCTGTATCCTTCGAGACCTGACCCTGAAACTGCCCCTTTGCATTCAGAGGCTGAGCAGCCGCGGGCTGACTCGAAGCCTGATTCCTCTTTGGAATCAGATACCCTTGTTCAGAAATGACTGCCAGGCTCAGGTCTCAAACCCTGCAGTCACAAGGCAAGGGACGAGCCAGGGGATCACTCAGCATCACGGGTCCACACTCTCTGCCTGCTGTGTGACAAGAGATAAAAGGACCACTCACTGCTGCCTGCTGGGGTGCTGGCAGAGCGTGGCTCCCTCACTTCTTCGCTTTATTTCCAGGCCCCTGCTGCGGGCGGGGGTGGGGGGGGTTCCCCGTAGGGGAGAGAATCTTAGGCTCCACCTTCCCCTTTGATTTCTAAATCTCCTGGGACCGTCCCCAGCCTTGTCCCTGCTACTTCTGTTTGCAGTGTGTTTGTCACTCTCATTTCGTACATGGAGTTCTTTTTTCTCTGCACCGTTTCTAAACTTTCTGACAAGTTTTGTGTTGGGTTTGCAAGCACTTGCGTGGAAATAGCTCCTGAGTTGAAAAAGCACAGTGGACGCCAGGTTTCGTTTGTGCAGTTCCAAACTGCATAAAAACATGAAAAGTCAGCTCTAATTAACATTAAAGTGCATTAAAAAAACAAAAAAAAAAAACAAAAAAAAAAACAGAGCCCAGCAGACAGGAGGAAAAGGAGAAAGTCTCTCTGGCACCACGTCAAACTGTCTACCTCCAAGACCTTTTTCCTTAAGTTTGTCAAACGTTTTGAATCATATGGCAGAGGTCGCTCCCTCCCTCTTGTACGCACTCAGTCGAATGTCACCGGAAATTAGATCTGCCCCAGGTATACTGTATCTGGGCTGATCCTACTTTGAGAGGTTGTGGAAATTCCTAGAATTTACAACGGAGTCTGCTTTTGATCAATTAGGTCTCGGACTGTGAAGGGTTTAAACACTCCTGTAGAACTTCTAGATCAGTGGTCGTCAACTGGGACAGTCTCCTCACCCCCCAAAATAACTGCCTCATCCAAAATCTCAATAGTGTGGAGGCTGAGAAAGCAGCATTAGAACCTTGATGCCATAAAAGCCTTGTGTCCTTTGAAGTGGATTTTGGCGACATGGATTAGGAAAACATAACATCTGTTAGGTTGAAGAGGTGTTCCTACTGCCAACAGGAAAAAAATAAACAGCAGAGATTTCACTTATATGTGGAATCTTAAACAATAACTCAGAACAGATTCGTGGTTGCAGGAGGAGGGGAGCAGGTGAAGGGAGACAAAGGTACAAACGTCCAGTTGTAAAGTAAGTCGTGGGGGTGTCCAGAGCAGCAGTGTGATGACAGCTGATAGTGCTGTATCGCACATTTGAAAGTTACTGAGAGTAAGTAGATCTTAGACGTTCTCATCACAAGGAAACATTAGAACTATGCGAGGTGGCGGATGTTAACTAGACTTACTGTGGTGGTCATTTCACGATACGTGCAAATATTGAATCATGTGGGACACGTGAAACACGTTATATGTCAATTATATATCCAAAAAAAAGGTAGAAAAAGTGCTATTTAAATCTTTGGTACTGTAATTTATTATCCACATCCAGTTTCTGGAAATCAGTATCATTCAGAACAAAGACCAACCTCTTTCTCCCCCATTCCCCGGCTTCCCTGACTCCCCGGCCTCCCCGACTCTCCGGTCCCCCGACTCCCCGGCCTCCCCGACTTACCTCGGCCTCCCCGACTCCTCAGCCTTCCACGTGAGACATCATCTAAGCCAAGTTGCTGCTTTACTGACTCACAGCAGGTAAAAAGAATACTTTCTTTCTTTGGCTCCGGAATTTACTACAAATTTAAATAGTCATTTTAATTTATCCATTACAAAATTACTTGATCTCTTTGTCTTAAAAAAAAAAAAAAGATTACATTTCAAGAACAAATCCTGGCTGTACGTGTAGGTTGAACCGTGGCACTTAACACAGGCCAAGCAGGCAGTTAAGGGACGGGAGTAGGTGTGGTGCCCTCTGCCGGGTCAGAGGCCGAGTTGTGTGTTTTGCCGAAGAACGCTCCCTGCCACGGATCTGTCCTGGGAGCATACCACACAACGTGGTATTTAACGTCCATCGTCATTCTCTCTCTCTAGGGTTGTTTCCGTACCTTATTTTTAAACTTAATTTTTTCAAAGTTCAAGAAAATCATTTTTAAAATCAGACAAGAAATATAATAGTTTTTCAAAGGGCAACAGGAGGTTGAAATTTATGATGGTGATTTTATCTTTACCTACAGATAGGTAATAGTAAACTTCTTTATGCAAGGAGGCCACAAGGTAAATATTTTAGGCTTTACGTAGCAGCTTCACAGAGCCTGGTAGGGGAAGGGGCCAGGTAAAATTCCTTGCCTAGGGAGGCAGTGCAAGTCACAGGCAAGTGGCTGGGGACTCATGATTAATAATCGAGCAGCAGGGGACAGTGACGCAGTCTACCACAACTCCCGTTTAGATCGGCTTGGCAAGTCTCCCGTGTGGTGTCTCGGCCCCCTGGTCTGTGTTAACGGACTTAAAGAATTCAACATTCAACTTCGAGTTTTAACATGGCCCCTGATATGATTGGATTTTTCCCTTTATGGAATGGTTAGGAATAGTCAAGAATGGTCATGTGTAGTTGGGGTGTATGTAGGCTGGGAAATTAATTTTTAAGAAATGATTTGAAATTACCAAGGTGTAATTACATAAAATAAAATGTACCTGTTATAGGTGCGCAGTTGAACGAGTTCGAGTGCCTTTATACAGTTGTGCGGCCATCAGCACAGTCCTGTTCAAGAGTAGTTCCCTTATCCTCCAGAGCTCCTTCCACCTTTATAATTAGGGTCCCTCCCATCCTTAGCCCCAGGCAGCTGTTCATCACTTTTCATGTCTATGGATTTGCCTCTTCCAAAATTTCATATAAATGCAACTCTATTATATGTACTCTTTTGTGTGTGGTCTCTTTCACTTAGAATCACCAATAAGGATGAATCTCAAAAACATTATGCTATCAGTTATCTGTTTTATATTACTGAAGAGTTCCACTGTATGGATTTATCGCATTTGGTCTCTGTACCAGTTGATGGACATTTGAATGATTTTTATGTCTATTGTAAAAAAAAAATGATTGTTGTGAATAATACTATGAATATTTGCATGCCTATTATGAATAATGCTGTGAATATTTGCATGCATGGCTTTTAAAATTTTTTGAGTAGGTAGATATCTAACATTTGAATTGCTGGAATGTGCAGCAAGATTATGTTTTGATTTTTAAGAAACTGCCAAACTAAATTGGTATAGCCACTATGGAAAACAGTATGGAAATTCCTCAAAAAAACTAAGAATTGATCTACCATATGATCCAGCAATCCCTCTACTGGGTATTTACTCCAAAGACTTAAAAACCCATATCCAAAAAGATATTTGCACACCGATGTTTATAGCAGCATTATTCACAATGGCCAGGACATGGAAACAACCCAAATGTCCTATGATAAATGACTGGCTATAGAAGTTCTGGTACATATATACAATGGAATATTACTTGGCCATAAGAAGAGATGAAATACTGCCATTTGCGACAACATGGGTAGACCTCATGCTGAGCGAAATAAGCCAGACAAAAAAAGTTGAAAATCACATGCTATCACTTATATGTGGGATATAAACCTAAAAGCAACAAATGAGCAGGACAAACAGAGACTCATGGGCATGGACTATAGACTAGTGGTTACCAGAGGACTCTAGAGCAGTAGTTACTAGTGGGGTGGGGGAGGAGGGGGGAGGTAGACAGGGTAAAGGCGGTTAAATATAAGCGGATGGGGGGAGGGTGAAGTGGGTAAAGGGGATCAAATATATGGTAGCAGAAGGAAACTGGACTTTGGGTAATAAACACACAATAGAATATACAGATGTCAAGTGATAACGTACACCTGAAATTGTTTTAACCAATGTTTATATAATTGTTTTAACCAGTGTTACCCCAATAAACTTAATTAAAAATTTAAAAAGTGCCAAACTGTTTTCCAAAGTGAAAATGTGTGTTTTACATGCCCACCACTTTCTCCACATCATCACCAGCACTTGGTATAGTTATTTATTTATTTTTTATTACAGCTGTGAAATCATTTGTTGGCAGTGGGAAATGGAACCCCTGTGAACCCCACTTTTGAAGAAGGGATGGTATTACTTGCCTCCCTAACAGGATTGCTCTGAGATCAGAGAAGATGGAGATTTATGTGCAAGTGCTTTTTATTGTAGAACTGTTACCGGTGATTATGTGCAGAATAGTTTTTAGCAGTTAAATTTAACACATAGTCGTCTCAGATTAGGGTGAAAACTTACCCAAATTTTAATAAAACCTGCACGTTATGGTCAAACTTGTTCTACCTTTATTATAAAGGCATACTTTACTTAAATCGTGAGCTTTCTTCATATGCCTGCATTGTATGTTGAATTGCCAGCCTTATTGAACAATGACAGAATATAATGGTTTACATATGGTGGGCAAATTTTTCTTTCCCACTCAAACTTGGATGGTCTGGTAAGTGTCTGCTTGGACTTCATTTTCAAATGATTGTGGGTGGCCTCATTTTTGGACCTGGGCATATGTGTTCTATTCCAATGGAATGGAAGTAGAAAGTTTGGGGGCTCAGAGAGAAAGGACCAAGAAACAATCTATGGAAAAATAACCATTTCAGTGGTTTTATTTTGCAATTCTGATTCTCTGAAAATTGCCAGTTTAAACATTTTCAAAGAACAAAGGGAGTTGTTGAATGCGTGTCCTTTTCCTACCTATGGACACCAGCTGTTGCTGGTCTGCAGGAACTAGCTTATGGGCCCTAGATTTGCTATCTGGGCTGGATTTTGCAAAACTTGCTTATCAGCAGCTCTTCACACCTGTTGATTAAGACCTTTGGACTAAGGAAGTTGAGCTGTGTGTTTGATCATGTATAACTATGTCAACAAAGAGCTTTATAGTAGTTTTAAATAAAAAGGTAAAAAGAACCACAACAAAACTCAAGTAAAAGAAGCTGCATGCTGTGTAGACTCTGAGAGTCCAGAGATTTATATTAATCCTGGTGAGAGTTTTCGTGAACTCAGTAATGTTTCCTAATAAAATTTTAATATACTCTTACTAAATAGACAATTTTAATGAGAAACATGTACGTGAAATCTTTTTTGATAAAAATGTTCGTTATTGTCATAGCAAACGATGCTTTGGGCTCAGGATTCTGGGACGGAGGTCCACTGTGAATTATTATTTTATGATTTTTACCTAATGAGTAAAAGTTCTTGCCTTACATGACTGAAAATTTCCATTTGAGCGTGTGCGTGAGAGTAGGTATTTCAAAGCTTTCAAATGCTGCAGTCTCTGACTTGTGAATTAAAAATGATGAAAAAGGTAGTTGGGGCCGTAGGAAACCTTTTTCTGGAGCGTTACTGATAATGCGGTTTGGTATGGAATGCTGTTTGAGAGAGCAGTCTTAGAGAAGCCTGGAATAAATGTTCTTTCTGGAAGCAGCTGTTTGCTAATAAAGAATCGGGACTGACAGGCAGTTATTCTCATCCTTTCTGGGTGTTACCAGCATCTCAGCTCCAAGTGGGAATCGGAGATACGTGACCCACTCCCGTGGAGATGAGAACTTGCTGCT